TATATATATGATTTTATATGATACATCCTTATTTACACCAATTTTTTGTAAACATGGCAGCTCATTCACCTTCTTCATATCCTCCAGAGACTTCCCAGCATGCCGCTCGGTGCGTTTTTTGGCTTCTTGTTCGTACGTCTCACGGCTCGTCAGGTACTCCTCCGCCAAAATGCTTCCGAAAAAAGATCAATGTAAACATCAAATAATCCAGATATTTCATATTAGTCCTCATTAACAGTTTAACAATTTCCATCATCTCCAAACAGTCACTGCCAAAATGGTTTCCTCACCTGTCCAGTGGATCGTCAGGCTCGGGGATGATGAGCAGCCCGTACACAGCGTCAAGCACCTCTCTCATTGTGATGTGGGCATTGTAGTTGCGGTCAAATATATTGTGGCAGATGCGGCCCACACTGTTGACATTGCAGTGATACACCTGGTATTCTGTTAAGAAAAACTACAAAAAAAAAAATACAATCCAGAAACCTGCAAATTCTAAAACAAAATGACAATAAAAGCACGATGAGGTGATCTGATTGCATTTTCGCAGGATACGTGTGTGACGAAACGAACGACTGGTGGCTTCACTGGGTAAGCAGGACCGAAGTGACAGTACAGCTCAAACACGCCTTTCTCATATGGCGTGTTTGGAGGGCCCTGCATGAGAATCCTCCAGAATGCTGGAAGATTAGAAAATAAAGTGAACACTGTTGCTATGACAAAGGATGAATTTAGCAACAAAATGTACGTTTTACATAATAAATTAAAAAAATCAAAGGGAAAGAAAAAAACTGACCTTACAACGTGAAAAAGACCAAGTTACTTACCGAAGTCTGACTCTGATGGAAAGATTTTAAAGAAGGGATGCGGGTCACAATGAAGACTCTTGAGCTCCTCCAGTATGCGCCTCTCCTTTTCCATGAACCGTTTATCTTTTGACTCACAGATCTTCTGTTTCAGGACACTGTTAAGAAAAACAAAACATCTCAAATTTAAGATGAAAAGCCCTCTGATGTTAAAAACAAATAAAAGCTCAGAAATGAACATGAAAAAACGTTGTTTCCTTTGCCAACCTCTCCGTCAGCGTCACTCTGCTGTTTATCTGGCTCGGTAAGGATGTCTCTGGAAACTCGTCATATCCATGAGTTGCAAACATGCCCGTTAATGTGGACTGTAAAATAGGAAAAAAATATGAAGGCGTCATGATCCATTCACAAGTTTATAATAAACGTGTGCAGCGGTTTTTACAACAGACCTCTGAGATGGAAGATTCATCAAGTGTTTTCTTGAGTTTTCTCTGCTCCAGAGACAGAACTGTCTCGATTTCAAAGAGCTTCAGACCCTCTTTGGTTGACTGTGGTTTGAAACAGCAACCACCTTTAAAAAATGAGGATAAGTGAACAAAAGGCTCAAGATCTATAAATATAAAACAGTTATTGATGATAAATAAGCTCTCCACAGTGTCCCCAAAAAGTTACACAAGTAAAACAAACCAGAGATTGGGTGGCATTAAAATTGTAGATTGGGACATTTTTAAAACAAATCTATTTTCTGACATAAATATATGAAACATGGAACCATTATTTATTTAGCTTCACTTAAAAAAATAATAACAATGCTAAAAACGTCCAAATAAAATAACTTTACCTGTTGCATTACTGATTCCGTGCAGCATGTTGTTTTCCACTTTTCCAACAAGGATTGAATCAACAACAATGTTTGATAAAAGCAGTTTGGATGTAACGGCAACTGGTTCTATTGAGGATCTAACGAAGGAGAAAAAACAAACAAAAAACAAATAACTTCATTTGAACCACCCACAAGTTGTTTGAAATTAAGGCTAATGTTTACCCAGAGTCATTTCCATCAGTGAGACAGATGATGCGAAGTCTGCAGTCTGGGAATCTTGCCTTGACCTTTTCAAGCTCACGAAACCCACGTCTGAGTGCGTCGTACAGAAGCGTACAGCCACTCACCTCAATGTCACGTATATGCACCTAAAATATAAAAGTATGTCATTAGAGCTTTGGAAGCACTTGTTTTAAGGTGTTAAATAGCTGGACTTAGAGAGCCAGACTAGTGTTAGTTACAAAATGTTCTCCAAGTTTTATAATTGGATGAAGTCTGTGTTTTCATTTAGTTTGTAGATTATTTCTGGCATGTATTTGCTTTGTGTGCATGTTTTCCTAAAAAGTACATAGGAAACTGATCAAGCGGAAGACAAAGTAATATGCAATAATAAAAAAAGTATGAATTTATGTACAAATAGGCAAAAATAAACAAATAAATATAAAATAATAATAATGTAAATTCTCCAGTTCCAAACCCACCAATGTACAAAAAAACATGCCTGCAGGTAAATGCCTTGAGAAAAAAAAAACTAATAAAATAAAAAGTAAAAATCACACTGCTCTCAGTGGTCAGGAAACAGATCAGCTGTAACACAGGCAGTGTGAAGTTGATAAAACATCTACAGGTTGTACCTTGAACTTTTCCAGATTCTCAGTAAACGTGTGGATGGTTTTCACCATCGAATCGAACTTCACGAGGCCGATGACATGATGGAAATCATAAGCCATGCTTCTGGTGGCAAAGTTATCAAAGAGCTCTTTCACAACGTCTATCTTCTTTATGTCTGCATTTCCAAAGCACTCCTCTTCCATGGATGAACTGGTGTCAATCAGCACCTGATGGAAAAACAGTCAGAAGAAATGAATCAGTGTTTGGCCTATAGTTGTTTGTTAAAATAAAGATCTTTCAAAATATAACGTTTGCTAAGTGTTACCAGTATTGCTTCTACAGGTGTCCTGGTGGTAACAAAATCTCTGTCATCTCTGTGGTCACCAGTCCTACAATATAAAAGAACGTTAATCACTTAAAGCTTAATTTACCAAGCTCAATGACCACTTTGACTGTGGTCTACTTACACTTTAAACAATAAATCGGAAACATAAAATCTATACAAATATTCACAAACACTCATCTCAGATGTGCATTAAATTTTGATGGTTCAGTTTTATAAAGGGGTGGTTTATTTGTTACTTTTTCTTTCAGATTAATTAAACTTTGGTACAAATACTCACCTGGCTGCCAAAACATTCACATCGATACTTTCTACTTTTCCAATCAGACAGTTGCGCACATTGATCACACCAAGAGTTCCTTTGTTCTTACTCAGATAAACGCCGAGGTTGTCTGGTGGTTAAAAAAAACAAACACAGCAGTGCAGTATGTCACATCAGAGATTTACGTTAATATGAGATGAAAACTTCAGTATTATTTGAGTGTGTGCCATAGAGGTGGATGTTTAAATTTTAATCTGATGGATTACCTTCACTCAGCAGAATGAGTTTACTGCGGGAACTTCCCAGATCCTTGAGCTGTAGAGGTGATGTCACATTAAGACAAGGGAGAGATTTGAGTTCTTCCATCATATCCCCAAACGTCCACTGAACATTAACCTGGAAGCTGTGATTGAACATCAGAAATTAGTCAAAATTTTTATTTTAGAAAAGAATAGAAACAGCCTTTATTGTCCCGCGGAGGGGAAATTCAGGTGTAGCAGCAGCAGCAGATAAATAAGTCCACAAAATAATATATTGCTGTGTGACATTATCAACAGTAGCAATAATAATAGAATTAAAATAATAATAATAATAATAATAATAATAATAATAATAATAATAATAATAACAAAAATTAAAAATAAAATAAACTAAAATAACAAGGGTATAAAAATGAAATAAGATAAAAATAAAAGATACTGTATTAAGAGTTCTAAATGTTTATTCTAGCAATTCTTCCCTCATCCTCCTCTCTCATGAATGAGCATCTCTCTAATAAAATTACATGTTTAGAGCCGGAGCCTTCAAAATAGATGCAAAAAAACTGTGCAAATGTTTGCCCAAGGAAAGAAATGATGCTACTTACTTTTGACCAGACACCTTGTCGTGGTGAATCCAGAGGGGGTACGTCGTGTAGTAACGCGGTACGCTGAGCAGGATTTTCTCAACATCAGTAGCTTTCTGCAAGGAACTTTCTTGCAACGGATCTTCAGTGCAGTTTGGAATTTTCACTCCATCTTCAAAGCAAAAGAATAAACATTAAAAAAATGATAACACATCATACAATAAAAAAAACCCAGATAACTATCAATTTCAGTCTTGTGAGAAATCCCAAGGTGGAAAGAAAAAAAAACACTGTAAGATCAAAAATCAAATTCAAATATAGCAGAAATGTAGAAACAGAACATCTGTAGGACTAAACTTTTAGGTTTTGTTTTTACTTTTGATTTTCTGGAGGACATCTGCTCTTTCAAAGACAGTTGGTACTCCAGGTACTCTGACCGGCTCGCAGAGATGGTGGCCATCTCCAGACACGAGACTGATGGGAGCATAAACTTCGTGCTCATATGTCTGCTCCTGACAAAAGAAGCAAGTTTAACAGATCACCATCTAAAACTAATAAAACATTCATAAAAGTGCAAACTGGCAAAAACAAAACATGACATTAATCCTTAAATATAATTACAATACTTTTGTTTTGTAAAATAGATGTGCCCAGCAGTGCAATGAGTTCTCGAAAACATCCTCGTCCTCGATAACTTTTTCCCCTTGCTGTGGCAAAAGCCCTCTGAAGAGCATGTACAGGCCTTCAATTATGGCAATCTGCAAGAGAAATAAATAATAATAGTTCATTTTTTAAATTGATTTTAAAAAATACATTTTATTTCTAGCCAGCTTTGACACTCAAGGTCACCTTACTTACATTAAACATAAAAACCAACACAGTAATAAAAGACAAAAACAACGTACAGTGAAGGACAGTGAGATGAATGGAGGGGGATGTAAGAGTGTTTCATTTGTTTTTAATGAAATGAATACATTTCTAAAAAAGAAAAAAAATTAAACCATTTAATACCGCTTACCTTCTGGTTCCTGGTTATCGTTTCGTTCCTGCAGAGTAACTGATGCAAACTTTGGGCGAGGGGGTGACACCCAGTCAGTTCTCGTATGTAGGCAATCAGTTCATTGACGGTAGCATTTACTTGATCACTCTGGAAAATAAACAACTAAATCTGATACTTTTTACATTTCAGTGGGCATTAGGTGGCCCAAGTGGTTCATTTAAGATTCATTTTCAAGGCAACTAAAGTGTATTCATCATTAAATTTACTTAATAGATTACATCACCATTTAAGTAAAACCAAAGAAAACCACAGCTTACAATGGCATGCAGTGAAGATAAGACCACACTGATTCCTTTCAGGGTCTGCGTCACTGAAGGCACAACATCATTTGTGTAGAAAGTCTGATCATGGGGAATATCTTCAGGAAAGGAGGACAAAGCGAAGGAAACTGTTGACCCATCAGAAATCCCATACTTTTGCAGTGTGTCATTATTGGAGCCTTTTTCTCTGCAAACAACAAAAACCAGAAGAATTGTTTATATGCAGGGGAAAAATAAAAATACTGCATTGAAGGCTGCATATATTCAGTGCTTTGAATTACTTGTAATGTAGGACATGTGCTGGGACTCCACTTTCGTTTGACAGCTTTTGTATCAAATCATCCATAGTGTCGCTTTCTAGGTCCACCAGAACCTCGAAATATCCCTTCAATCAGTTGAAAGAGACGTTAAAAAACACATCATGAGGAAAAATACATCACATTTTTTATTTTACTTTTTTTTTTTTTAATTGGGGGGAAGATGTTATATATTTTTTCTTCTTTCTGCTCCTTTTCATTTGACTATGTTGTGATCGTGTTTTTGACACGTTATTGCATTATTTGTTTGTTTCTGTTATTATTTGTTTGTTCTTATTTGTTTGTTGAATGAAATAAAGTTCTATAAAAAAAATAGACATGTTAAAAACACATCATGAGAAAAAATATGTCACATTATTTTAACATACAGTGCTGCTTTTTGAGAGAAGAACAGATTTTTATTTTTTTTATTTTTTCGTTTAAAGCATATAATAAGCAGTGGTTAAATCATACCTTGAGCATGATATGGCATCGAATGATTTGAGTTCCACCACTTTCACCAGACTTTTCTTCTAGTATCTGCGGAGTCTCACACAGGTTTTCCTTTGGTGTAAATATGGCATAGACTACGTCCCCATTTCTGATGTGTCTCTCTTTAAAGGACCCTAAAAAACAATAGGACATTTGCAGTTTAAAAGCTGGACTTGATTTTACATTAACCTCAATCAAAAACACGGAAATGTTTGCAAAGTATTCTAAATACTTTCTGTTCAAATCTACTCACATTTGTTGAAGAAGGGATCATCTGTTAGAGGCATCCCATCGATGGAGTAGATACAAACTCCTTTGGTGTTTCCAACGTTTTCGAGGAAACAGATTCGGAGCATCAGATCCTCAACTGTGTTTTGCGTAGGGTCCATATCTGTCACATTGCAATGTCAAAGATTTAAGCTACAAAGGCTTTTATAATTATTTAAACTTTGCAATAGTTTCAAAGCTTAAAAATATGCTTACACTTCTGGTTTGTTCATAGTTTCTGTAAACAGTTCTATAAAATGAAAAAAAGTTAATAGTTTATGTCTTACCTTTAATCGGCTTCCGTTCAGGACATTTAGGGTATGTGTACCACAAACAAAATGACTCAGCTGGTTTCTGCACAGGTGTTACAGTTTGGACTTGCCGCTCTGGCGCTCTGAGCCTCTGAACAAAGTTTTTCATTGCTGAAAAACGGTTCTTTTCTACATGACTTAGACCTAAATAATAATAAAAAATAAAAAATAAAAAAAACAAACAAATGAAAAACAATACAAACCTTTTCACATACAATGATAATTTTAAGTGGTGGTATCACTCTACTAATCAGCTAACAGTGGAACAAATTTTTTATTTAGTAGGTTAGCTTTTTCACTAACTAAAATCAGAATCAGAATCAGAATCAGAATCAGAATCAGGTTTATTGGCCAAGTATGTTGACTCACACAAGGAATTTGTTTCCGGCTGTTCATGTCTCTAGTATTAACACTGTACAGATACTTTACATATAATTTACACATATTACACAATATACAGAAAGATTCACATTATACTACATTTAATCAGGATATATATCTGTGCGGTGTGCTTTACAGTGTTATTCACAAAATATATATATATATACTGTATATAATAATAAAAATAAAATAAATAAATAAAAATAAATAAATAAATAAAAAATTAAAAAAGACTACCGGGTATATGACAGCAATATTCAAAGTTAATATTAAGTATTAATTCGACAGCAGCAGTGTAGAGGTCGATGACTATGAATAAGGTGCATTAATGCAGTTATGTAGAATAAGAGTGATAGATACTTCTCTGTAGTGTAGAATATATGATCTAGCTGATGGATGTCTGATGATCAGCTGTTGATGATGGTGATGGCCTGAGGGAAGAAACGGTTCTTGTGTCTGACAGTCTTAGTGGATAGAGTTCTGTAGCGTCTGCCAGACGGGAGGAGTTGGAACATGTTGTGATTAGGGTTGGGCGATATTGGCAAAAGAATTAATCACGATTAATTGTGGTATTTAGCCGGCAACGATTAATTTGACGATTAATCCTCTGGAGTCCCTGGACGCCCTTATGTCCTGGTCACATGACCTATTTAGTGGGAAAGATTTGCTCTTCGTAAAAATATTTTCCAAATTGTGTCAAAATCAGACTTCAGGCGATACTTCAAATTTTAAATTGTGATGATAGATAAATAAATTACAGAACTTTTGTTTAAATGTTCGTCATATTTGAAGCGAAGAGGAGCACCAAGCCGACTGACCGGGGAAATCTCCAGTCAGTCTGCCTGGTGGCTTTAATCGTATTAATCGTCAAGTGCCAAAAAATAATCGATTAATGTTTTTCTGACGATTAATTGCACACGATACGATTATGCCCAACCCTAGTTGTGATCTGGGTGTGTGGAGTCTGTGATGATTTTCTCAGCCCGTTTCCTGGTTCTTGTGCGATACAAGTCCTGAATGGAGGGCAGTGAGGCCCCGATGACCTTCTCAGCCGTCCTCACAGTTCGCTGCAGCCTGTTCCTGTCCTGCCTTGTGGCTGCTCCAAACCAGACTGTTATGGATGTGCACAGGATGGACTGAATGACTGCAGTGTAGAACTGGATCAGCAGCTCCTGAGGTAGGTCCAACTTCCTCAGCTGGCATAGGAAGAACATGCTGGGCCTTTTTGAGGATGGAGGAGATGTTGGGCTCCCACTTCAGGTCATGTGAAATGGAGGTTCCCAGGAACATGAAGGACTCTACCGTAGACATGGGGCTGTTGAAGATTGTGAGGGGCAGCATTGCAGGGGGGTGTCTCCTGAAGTCCACTCTCATCTCTACAGTCTTGAGCGTGTTCAGCTCCAGGTTGTTCCGGCTGCACCAGGACATCAGTCGTTCCACCTCCTGTCGGTATGCAGTCTCGTTTTTCATCACGGATGAGTCTGACGACTGTAGTGTCATCTGCAAACTTCAGGAGTTTAACAGTCGGGTCATTAGAGGTGCAGTCATTGGTGTATAGAGAGAAGAGCAGTGGAGAGAGCACACATCCCTGAGGGGCACCAATGCTGATGGACTGTGAGGAGGACATGATTTTTCCTAACTGCACCTGCTGCGTCCCGCCCGTCAGGAAGCTGGTGATCCACTGACACATGGCAGGAGAAACAGTGAGTTGGGAGAGTTTGGTGGAAAGAATGTCAGGGACGATAGTGTTAAACGCCAAGCTGAAATCAAGAAACAGGATTCTTGCATAAGTCCCCGGGTGATCGAGATGTTGCAGGATGAAATGCAGTCCCATGTTGACAGCATCATCCACTGACCTATTTTCCTGGTAGGCAAATTGCAGGGGGTCTAGCAGATGACCAGTGATGTCCTTCAGGTGGGTCAGGACCAGCTGTTCAAAGGACTTTATGATCACAGACATTAAGGCGATGGGCCTGTAGTCATTCAGTCCTGTGATGGAGGGTTTCTTGGGGACTGGAAAGATGGTAGAGCGTTTGAAGTAGGAGGGAACTTCACACAGCTCCAGTGATCTGTTGAATATATTTGTGAAGATTGGAGCCAGTTGGTCAGCGCAGGTCATAAGGCAGGAAGATGAGACACCATCTGGTCCTGGTGCTTTTTTATCTTTTGTTTCTGAAACAATCGGCTCACATCGGCTTCGCATATCTTGAATGCAGCTTCAGTAGTGGGGGGAGGGTGAGATAGAGGGTTCTTAACCGTGTTTCCATCAAGGCTTTTTGATACGCATTTAGAAGTGTCGCACTGAAAATGCGAAGAAAAAAAAAAGTCGGATGGAAACAACAAAATTCGAAAAAAAAAATCCTCAATTCGCTAAAAAGTTTTTACACTTGCTTGAGGTGGTTTTTGGATGATTTGCAAAGTAGTTAATGCACAAAACGGGAGATGGAAACACGTTTGTTGAATAAATTCTGATGTAGCGCATATTTACCTCACGTGACGTTCAGCTGTTTCCGCTTTCCTGCCTCGTCCCGGCGTAGTTGTGGCACGTGCCTTTCTGCTGCGTAGTTTAACATTGCGTTTATTTCCCTACGTCTCCTGGCAGCGTTAAACATAGCCTGTACTAGCTAAATAGATAGAATAATTATAAATTGCCCAATGGCAAGGCATTCATGAAAAAAAATCGCTTCATTGTCCCGAAGTCAGTAGCCTCTGCTAGTTAGCAAGTTTCACTTCCTGTTTACTACCGCAAAGCTTGTCGCCGAAGTTTGACGTAATCACGCGTTGCGTAGCCTCGTTTATTCGCATCAAACAGTCAAGAGGGAATCTAGATGGAAACAGTCTAAATTCGAATTTTTGTTTATTTAATTTTTTGCGAATTTTGAAAAGTTCGATAAAAATTCATTTTACAACTGGATGGAAACATACGGACTGTCTTGTTGATGAGCTGTGGGGTTGTAGAGAGGTGTGAATGCTCTTCTCGAACCTACAATAGAAGCTGTTCAGGTCGTCAGCAAGGGCTTTGTTAGCCTCGGAAGGTGGGGGATGATGGTCTTCTGTAGTTTGTGATGTGCTGAAGGCCTCTCCACACTGAACCAGGGTCATTGGCTGAGAGCTGACTTTTCAGCTTTTCAGAATAGCATTTTTTATCCACTGATCTCCCTGGTCAATGTAAAAGGTATAGGTTTGCTAACTCTAAACAGCTAAAACAAGTAAAAGCTAGCAGAAGCTTACACTAGCTAATCGCTAATTGCTAAGACAAATTTCACTCAAGTCAGTGTCACAAGTCTTTGTCTCCTTCCAGATGAAGACTGTTGGGACTCACACAAACCTGTTAATGTTAGTTTGTTAGTGAACTTTAGATTGGCAAAACCTCATTTAGTGGAAGACAATGCTGACATGTGTGTGTGTGTGTGTGTGTGTGTGTGTGTGTGTGTG